GTGGCGGGCCACAGTTCGTGGAGCGAAATGCTTTAGATATCGGAGCAAGTGAAGCTGAAGATACAGCTGAGTAACATGGTGCTCAAGGTCCGCGACCTGGTGGTGAACCAACTCTGGAGAGTACAACCAGTCCACGAGGTGGGTCATCGTTTCGAGATCGACAGCTTGGCGGTGAATGGGGGCGTTCGCGTCAAGAGCATATGTGTCATGTGGACGCAGACGCCGTTCCGGCGAGCGCGGACTCTAGGTGCGGGAATCCAGCTGAGGCACGGCCTCCTCCAGCTCTGCTCGGCGAGTGCGGTGTGCCCTACTATTATGTAGAGCGCCTTGTGGCGCGGTGTCGAACCCACTCCTTGGTGAAGTGGAGAGGATAACCACATTCGTAGAGCTCATGGGAGTTCGGGTACCGGCAATGTCAGGGTGCTATCAAATGATGATTATTTACGTTGAAACTTATGTTTCAGGTGTGGTAGTTCTGCGCATCAGGCTAGACAGTGTCCGATACTGCCCCCAACAGACGCGGACTAAGAGACATATCGCATCGAGGTACAAAACTCTGGCAATGCTCAAGGATGTGGTAGCACGCGAATAAACATGGTCCGCTAGAGAAATGAGGAAGAAGAGACTTTCGTCATGGATTGGGTGACGATGAACGTGGTAGACATCCAGAAGTTTGTGGATGAGCTATGGGAATTTGAAGAATGTTCACGGGGAGAGGGCAAAGCGCGTTTCATTGCAGTTTCGGAGACGACAGAGACGATTGGATTGTCTGGAAAATAGCCGGTAAAAGTGCCTAATTTACTCGAGCAGCATTCAAAGGAAGAGCTTGGTGTGTGCGGATTGCCGCCAGGGCAGAAGGAAATAATGGATGCGGTGCAGCATGAGCAAGACGTTGCGGTAGAAGATACACGCACGACGTCAGTTACAACAGAGACCATGACGGTTAAGCACTCTCTTCATCAAGAAAGATTGCATCAATGGGAAAGATGTCCAAATTTTGCTAAACATGGGTGCGAGTGCTAACACGATTAAGCCTGGTTTCGCAACTGCAGTGTTTTTGTCGAATCGTTTGCAAGCACAGCGCTTTGACGGAACTTTAACTCCGGCAACACATGTCAAACACGTGGAAGCATCAGTGTGCTTAGACGGTTATTTCTTTCCGACGATGGAGGTCATTGAATGGAAGTTTCCAGAGTCCCATGACGGCACTTTTGGGAAACCGTGGTTTGAAGCCTACAACCCTCAAGTGAACTGGCAGACGCAAGAAATATGCCTGAGAGAATACAGCTCACAGACGTCGGTGGGCATACGTTCAACCGAGCATTGAGCACGTCTTTGAGTTCTTAAGCCACAACATTACGGATTGGCTCTGAGATTGACTCCAGCTCGGGTACGGCAAGTACTTTTACCCGATCCACTCGTTCATATGTACCAGTGTTTCCGGAACAACTACCGGATGGAATATTTTCAACACGAGAAGTCAACTTGGAGGCGACGCTGAAAAAGAGAGCGCAGCCAAGTAATAAAGCACCGTTCCGAATGGCTAAAATGGAGCTGAGTCCCTTTGAAGGATTTGTTAAGGACAAGTTGCGAAAAGTTTGGGTGGAAGTGTCGAACTCGCCTTGGTATCAAACCTCTTCGCGATTCCAAAAAAGGACCCAGTGACAGAGAAGATGCCCAAGCGGACTGAGTGGTTTCATAGCAGTAATACGAATATATCGTTACGTTAGGTATTTGACTACCGCTATCCTAACAGCGTGACTGTTATCGCGAAGATTCCTTTGCCGCTTATTGAGAATTTGTGCGATCAAATAGTGGTTTGTGTTGTTTACACACTGATCGATCTTGTGCAAGGATATCATCAGATGATGGTGGTGAATTCAAGTGGACCCTACACTTCATTTCGGACACACAACGAGACATACGAGTGGTGCGTTGCAGCGATGGGTGTATCTGGTATGGCTGGAAATTGGTCACGCCTGATGCACACGCTTTCGACAAGTTCGCTTTTGTTGTCGTTTTTACGACATTTGCATTTTCTCGAAGAGCATGGAGGAGCATATGCAGCACTTGCGTGCAGTCTGTCAAGTACTGCGACATGAAAAGCTGTATGCCCACTTGTCGAAGTGTTCGTTTGGCCAGCCAGAAGTGACATTCTTAGGCCACATGATGTCTCAGGCAGGAATAAGTGTCGATCCCAGAAAGACGAAGGCAATTGCCAAGTACCCAACCCCAACGAACAGGAAGGAGTTGTTGACCCTTCTAGATTTAGCCGGATACTATCGTAGATTTATCTACGATTTTGCCGAGCTTGCCCCACCGTTACGAGAGCTAGTGAAAGCAACGACTACGTGGAACTGGACTAAGTCTGTGGAAGAAGGCGACTTACATCTCAAGCTAGCTCTTCAGCAAGCACATACGCTCACGCTACCGCATTTTGACTGATCGTTTATTGTGACAACGGATGCGTCAGATCACTATATTGGCGATGTGTTTTTGCAGATGTATGGCGGAGCAAGATCATCTGATCGCTTTCTACTCCAAGAAGCTGGATGTGCATGAACGTGAATGGCCAACCCACGAGAAGGAATTACTGGCAATCAAGGTCGCAATAGAGAAGTGGAGACGTTATCTGCATGATCGCCCATTTGACTGTATATGGATAACTCAGCGTGTTCGTGGATGGTCCATCACCCGCGAGTATCTACCAACAGAGATCACGTCAGGGGCAAGGCAAACGTGGTGGCAGACGTTATATGACGACCTCCACGTAACACGAAGGACGCGGATTGGGGTTAGGATCCGCCCCTACCGGATGTGACGTATGATGTGCATGAGTGCGGTGAGGCTTGTGAGAAAGATGCCGCGCACATCAACGACCATCAAGTCTGATCAAGTTAACTTCCAACTCGTTCGTATTGGCTTCAACTCCTGGATGGATTAAATTCGCCGCCAAGCCAAAGTCAACCTGGAGGAGATGTCATGCCTGACTCTGGCCTGTGAGCATGCAAGCCAGAGAGCGCGGGCACAAAGACCTTAGCTTGCATACTCACAGCCGGAGGCTGAATGTTACTGAAACTGCTGCACTTAATGCACTCAGTTACAGTGAACGTAAATTTAGCTAGATAAAAATGCAAGTGCCATAAAAACACAGAAAAATAAGTAGGGTAGACAACATAGGCACGAATGAAAAACAGAAAGACGCAAATACAGTGGGAAGGCCTTGTGCTCTACTAGTGATCCAAGAAAGGCATGCATGTTAGGTACAGCAAAGTTATTCACTATTAAATACACCTTCTACTCCGCACATCGATCTCAACACCAACAACTTCAACTACAAGACCTACACTCTCGCTCCGCACGACAATCATCTTTACGACGAAATGCACAACTAAGTAACGGAGAATAACTTGGAAGTACGCGAACCACGCCCACCGACGTTTCGAACATCGCTCCAGCAGAACTACTTTACCATTCGGATTCAGTTCCTCGTTCGAACGTTTGGGTATAATGATCACTTGCATGCGTTATGCGCCACGACGAAACTCGCGAAGGAACTCAGTGTACGCAGTGTGGCCGCTAACGAGACGAGGTATAGACACAAGAATCATTTTAGTTTGTCATGGACGGTAGGACCAATTTGAGGAGGCAGCTTGATCATACCATCTAGGCAGCATTCTACTACAGACACGCCAGGCCTCTTCCACGCGTTGCAGTGCGGACAAACTGTTGTATACGGTAGTTTGTATCGCTCGTTGACCACGTCGTCACCAGTGATCATCGTCGCATCAAAGTCTTCATGGGGAATAAGGGCGTGGCCGTGACGGGTACATTGGCGTATTGTTCGCAGTCTCTCGAGTTCATTTCCATGTTCTTCCAGTTCTTGTTCCGGTAGCTCCGCTCTTCGAAACGCATGTTGCTGACGATGCGACTCACGTTCAGCTTCCCGGTCTTCTTCCGGTAGCGTTGGTCTCCACATGCATGCTGTTGACGGTTTAGCTCGCGTTCATGCTGTCGTTGTTGCTCTGGAAGCTCTGTTCGGTGTGCGGCATGCTGATGTCTATCCTGCTCTCGTCGTTCCTGCAGCTCTCCCCCGCGCAGCGGGGTTCCCCACGCGCGTTTTCGATCAGCTTCTTTCATCTTTGTCCGGTCACGCTGAAAGAGAGTTAAATGAGCTAGTCTCGTCCGAGCCCTCTCTACATGCTTGGCCCGTCGGCTTTAATTCTGAGATATTGCTCGGCTTTTGCGAGCACACTGCGCATCAGAGACGGGGTCACTTCTTGAACAGGAGCTTGTGGTACAACCGGCACCGAAAACAAACCGACATCCCTGACTCCCGCTCGAAACGCCACTTCCATTACAGCCGCGAACAGCCGCTGATGTTCCGCAGGAGCGGACTCATCTGTTTTCTCCTCCCGTTCGTCGGTAGGGGCAATACGACCTTCCGTAACTTGCGGTTCATTCTGCTGCACACAGAGGTCCTCCAGCGCTTTGTTCCAGTCGTAGCGCCTACTCCATCGCCTTGTCTGACGTCGCTTCCGTGCGTTGCACGGGGGGGGGGGGGGGGCGACGCGTTCGTTCTCGCAAAGGGTGTCCTCGCGCGTCCTTTTCCGTTTAGTTTCAGTCTTAGCTCTGCGAACACGAAAACGTGACGCGTTATACAAAGTCTAAATACCCGCACGCAGCAGTAGGCTTTCCTAAAGTAGGGTATTGGACTTGCTCCCGTCAAGGTTCTCTCCGATCACTTACCCCACAGTCACGCGCCGTGAGGCCCGGAGCGGTTTTAGTTGCTAATTGTGCAGTCGATTTTTTAGGGTTGGCCCTGGGTAGCACTGAGCTTGAGGGATCGATATCCTTTAGCCAAAAGGCGGCTGCTAATTGCAAAAACTGGTTATTGATAGGCTGTTACTGCCCCCCCATCTGTTGGTAATATGAGGTACCTCTACCGACTGCACGCATGCAATATGCATGCCCATCAACAACCAATAACGACCAACTCAACCGGTTCGCTGTCGGGATTGCGGTCAATAGACCGAGCTACTATAATGCGCTCTCGCGCAGATTGGGCGGTGGGATAAGGCCCCGAAACCCCGGAGGGCTCCAGAATTAAATCTCTATCTCTTCGTGCTCGGTTGGATAGTGCATATTTTACCAATACAAATATTCATATTAATTTATGTATCAACTCTGTTCTTTACAGAGACAGGCAATTCTAGGAGGGATGACCTAAAGTGTAGCCACCTGATTGTGATACTCGGCAAAGCAGTTGCGCTTTGAGGACGCACAAAGTGGCATCCTACATGCTGCACAAATTACTGTCGTTTGACGCCGCGCTCCATTTTTGATGCAAAGTTTGCACTGTACTCGTTGCTCCTGGAAAAGATGCAAATGCATAATATGAATTTTCTCCTCTTCCACACAATTCGACTGATTGAAAAGTTGCCATGCCAGTTCTCGACGAAAAGCCCGATGATTTAGTGGTGTTTTGCCGGATCTGGAACAAACATTCTGGTGATAAATGTACGCGTTAATTATCGCAGTGTCCAAGAGCCAAAAGAAAATAGGAACCCAC